AGACCATAAATAAACACAGACGTGCTCGGATCTGGTGCAGATCTTTGTGGCCGATACTGATGTTTGCCCTCATGACGAAATTAAGGAATATAATTGTTCCGGCGTGTCTCTCAGTCCATCTCCTGTAGCGCACCGCACAATATCGCAGGCACCACAGATGGGTTTCGGGGAGTGATTTATATTCTCTTCTTGCATTTTCTACACTATGCTAATTTGCCTCGTGCAGACGCCGCAGTGTTTATTAATTTTTAGGATTTATGCAAGTCACCGCGTCGCTCCGGCGCGCTCCACATTCCACCGACTGCACTCCGAGGGCACTGCAGTGTAAATGTCGACATTATGTGCAACATCTTGAGTGCCATAAGTGGGGATTTCAAACACATCATTACTTATTTATTTGTAAAAATGACTTGAGTAAAGTGTACAAATGTGCAGTGGCCTAAAAAAGTTGGCGAAGCAGGTTTTTCATCGAAACTCTGGGACATGGATGAGTTGTGCTTGTGCCTGCCTCGTGCCATAGAAACCACTAAACCCCCAAAGTGCACATTAAGCATCCTGCAAACATGGATGCAGGTAACTATGTGAGTGGATTTAATTTAGTCAAAAATGCATAAGTGGAACCCAGTATCTGAGGGTTTAATCATGCTAAAACCATTTTATAAATCTGCATGCACAAAAACATAAGCTACTGCACAAATGTGGCTTCTGATGACCAAGTTTTCTGTCCCTAAATGTCCAATAAATTAGAAATTCCCCAACTTAAATACTCCCAACCAAGCATTAATTTGTTTTCCTTTGATTTTGACTATTTAAAGTGAGACAAGAATTCATTCTCATGTCGAGCCAAAGCCTCAGAAAAGCCCTCCATGGGGAGCACAGCCCCATGTCCTGCACCCCCCCAGTCTTTCATGTTGTGACTAGGTTCTGCAGTTCTATAATTAGCCGGGTTTTTGGGTCGGCCGTAGCGTTGCAACTGAACCAGCCACGATGCCAGACTCTTCATTATGCAAAACGTGTTTTGTGTGCAAAGGCCTAATTGATTCTGAATGAAGCATGCATTATTGATGAGCCAACGCGAGTCTTTCTCTTTTCGCCTCTGTTCCCTCTCTGTGCATGCAAGATGCTTGTTCACTTTGTGCATCTCCTTTTATTTCCCTATAGTTTTGTAATCACTCCATCTGCTCTGCTGGTTTAGTATCCGGAGGAGGGGGAGCAGGAGCTCAACCAGAGCTGCATGAAGTGGTTTATTATAGAAGACATGACAAGTGTTACTCCTGACCCCACGCTGGCCACAGGCAGCCCTTTAGTAAACCTGTAATCTTCAAAACCAAATCTGCTTTGCTGTAAGTCTATTTACCTCTAGAGACTCTGCAGCTCGCTAAGAGTGGATGTCAGGGAAGTAGTGAAGAGAACGCAGCGCTAACACTTCACCAGCCACCATTTTGTTTAGGTGATTATTAATAAGTGTGTCGGTTTGTTTTGAAGAAAGATGGATTCCAAGGATTCACAAATGACACAAAGATGTTAGCGTTGGATTATGTGATAGTAGTTTAATAGTTACAGGCCAGAAACATGTGGCCTGTCCCACTGAGACTCTCTTCATTCCTTGGCTTCCATGCTTGTTATTGTCTTAAATGAATTATCAGCTGGTTAGCTTATGTTGAATTACACCAGTGCTTCCATTTATACGTCAGAAGGCAGAGTAAATAGTCAATTAAAACGTTGAAAGTTAGCTTCTGATGCTGGTCACTTGTGCTGGAAGTGCAGCTTTGATGCGAGACTCTGGAAACCAAGTTTCTTAGTTTATCAGACGTTTTTTTTATATGCTTTCAACAAATTGCTGTAGACTCTAAATGGACAAAGGTAACCATTAATTATCCTTTTTCTTACTCTAGACCTGAGGAAGTGGGGGATGCCTGTTGAATCTGATGACACTGGTTCAAGGCCTTCACTCTGAAGTGTCGTAGTCACGGTATTTTCTACAAAGCTCTGTAGCTGACCGAGCGCCACGTAGGGAAGCAAACAAAGGGACTTTTCCCTACGGGGATCAATAAAGTATCACATTGTCACTATTACTGAGCCACACAGGCAGTGGGACACCCAACCCCAGTAATGGTGGAGTCATGCGCTACGCATTGAGCTGCACTGGAATTCAATCCCTTAAACTGGCAGTGCCCAACAGCCACTGTCAACTTGTTCCGGAGAGGAAAACCATGTATATGTCAGCCTCAGATCACAGCACCAGTGGCTGACTCCACTCTCCTGATAGGGTGTCAAATGCTAAGGCGCTCTCCTGGCTAATCCTGTGTCACCTCTTTCCCCTCACTGCTCTTAAAATACCACAACTTCTGTGCGGTAAGTCTGCTGTTACACGGCAGCACAATGATAAGCCACGCAGATGACATAACTCACTTTTTCTAACCAGTTTGGACACTGGAAATACCTGAGGAGCACTTATCAGTCATAAGGCAGTTTCCTCTGACGCTTTGTGTGGTGTTAACCGCACGAGCTCTGGCAGCCAGTTAGAAGTCACTCCACATTGGTGTTAATGCAACGTGCCGATTATTGAAAGATTGTCATCGGAGGGTAGCTTAAACATGACCTCAGGCCTCGTAAAAGTGTAAGCTTTTTTTCTAGTTTGTTTGCATTTTGAATTAAATTATTTCTACATGTGAAATAAGACAAGATTGCAATCCAGGCTCATCTGCCCAACAGTAAACCTGACTTCTTTCTTGTAGTTAATGCTCTTTTGTGTAGAGGATGAACCCCGCCTGAGTGAAATATCGCCGTTTTTTGGCGCTACTGTTTGCGCAAAATTTCTGACTTTGACATTTAATTATCATATTAAAAAAGACGTCTGTCCAAAAGGGCTTTCAATCGAATTGTCTCGTCGATCAGCCGCAGTCAGGAGATGCTCCCTCGATGTCTCGGGCTCAAACTGAACTCCCAGTTTGCACGTCCAGCTTGCCAACCATCGTCTCCGTTTGGCATCCCCCGTCGGAGCTGCAGGACAATTCCGGTCGATTGCTCGCTGGCCCGGGGCATCTCCCTCTCAGCTGTAGGATCTCCATCCTTTCACCCCCACCTCCCTGCAACAGGGACTCCTCATTGGCTCCCGTGTTAGTGTTCAGCCTCTCTCTGCCAGCAATCGGACTCGGGCTCAGTGGACACTGCAGTGTTGGATGAGATGGGATGCGGATGTGACTGCTGAACAGCAGCCAATACCACACACACACATTTCCATGCAGTGTCTCTGGATGGCATTGTTTATTTAGGAGCCGTTGTGTTATGCTCAAAGGTTTGATGCATGACTTGAAAGAGGCTGCACCCGTAAAACACACAAACTCGAGAGCCTTCAGTTAAACATGGCTGTGTACAGTTCACAGAGACTGGTTTAAGTCACTTGTTTTTTTAAATGAAATGAGTGCATTCTGCTTTAACTTCTCATCCATAAATAGATTTCATCCAACCTTCTATGAATATGAGAATATTTGTCATTTGGCTAACATACAGATTGGTGCATCTGTAACTGTTTGTGTTGTGGCTGCAAAATTATGTTTAAAACACCTTTGCATATATTAAGTTTTTTATTCATATTTTCTTTTTTTTTTTAAGGATATAGTAGACTTTTTGTTCTCTTTTATATTTTAAGTACACATGTATAGAACAACAGCACAACCAGACATTAGCAAAACAGGACATGTATGTCATCTGTAATATTTATAGTGTGATACTGAATCCCTGGTAAAGTGAGCAAAATGTTGAACTACATCTCTGCAGATGTGTAACTAAAGAGTACACTTGTGATAATTTTTTAATGACTTCATAGTGGTGTGCCTTCTTAGCCACCCTTCCCCTTTAAAGAGATTTTAATCTGAGGCGACATCCTGGTTAAATACAGGTTTTAAAAAAAAACCCCACAGTGCTAAAATTCACTTTTTTGTTCCTTGTACGTGCACAAGAGTGGTGAACAGAACACTCATCTGGCTTGTCCTGGCGCTGGCCTGTGTGAAGGACATGTTAGCATGCAAACTATCTGAGGAATTCACAGTTTCTAGACGACGAGCATGTTTCACTTTAGAAGCATGGCAAGACGTTCGTGCATGGATGCATCTAAACTTTTATGAGCTAAAGCGTGCGATGAGACTAAGGTAGTAACAACATCCATCGAAGAATGCACAGTGCTGCATTTCAGCCTTGCATTAAACATTTAGGTTTCCAATCTGTCACTTTCATTGAACAGCGTCGTCTCTAGGGCCCAGAGTCCAAGCTGTACATTATACAGCCTTACCTGTCAATTGGCAAGATGCATCTTTCACTTCTGTGCTGTATTAGTAGATTTTATAACATCAGCAGCTTATACAAACATTATCTCTAAAGTACACAAACGTATGTAAATGCACTGATGTCTGTACTGTCATTAAGAAAATGTGCGGTATGAAAATGAATCCTGAGCTCAGTGCAGATCACTAGACCCTATTGTCTGTTTTTCCTAGTAGCTGCCATTGTTTGTCTGGTAAACAAGGAAACAACTTGGACTTGTTTAGAAGACTGTCTGTTCTGAGGTGTTTTCTGGGGCTTTAAAAAAAAAACAGAGTTGGTATATGAGGATAGAAACTATAGTTCACCTCCTGGAATATAATTAAATTACCAGTATGTTGAATAAACATATTGTGTTAGTGGTGATGTTCGTGGGTTTTACATTCATACAAAATCAGAACATTTTTCAATCGTTTCCCCAAAAGATTTTTGTAATTTTCTCCTAAACATTTCAGCACAGACAGTCATTTTTCAAGAGCACTATTCAAGAAAGAACTGATCGGATTTTGTCGACAATCTCAGAAAACACACCAACCTTTCCGGCAATATGCTGCTGTAGTCGGGAGGATATTTCACCGCTGTCGGCTTATCTTGAACAGATGTGACAGGTTGATCTCGTTCTGTTACGATGTCTGCAGTCATGACTTCACCTAAAATATCTGCCTCTCTTCTTTCTTCAGGGAAATGAAGCCAGTTACCCCCTGGAGATGTGCTCGCATTGTAAGTATTTTGAATCTTTGCTTGATCTAGTAGTATGGCTTGGTTTAATTTAATCCTTTTTTTTGGTTTAGTTTTGTTTTGGGGGGGTTCACCTGAGCAGTTTTTTTGGCAGGTCTTTTAAGCACACCGAATCCTGATGAATCATATCCTCGGATGAAATTCATTCAGAAGGTGACGGCACTCAGTAAATACAGGCTTCTGCTTTATGTTTCTTAATGCTTTTGGTTTCTAATCTGTCACAGTTTGTATTCATGTTTTTTTTTTTTTGTAATCATGCTGGATATCTTTTAGCGGGACTGCTTCGTGTCAAAATTCAGTTTGCACATTTTTAAATCGCTGCGATAAATTACTGCTCCTTAAATGTCAGGTTACTTCCACTGATGAGCTGACATTCTCCTCTGATTATTTCATCTATAAACGTTTCCTCAGCTGAATTCCCAGACAATATACCACTATATAGCCGTATACGTAGCTGTAAAGACATCAAACGGCACAAACTAAAAGGGTTTCATCCATAACCCCGAGAGGTTTTAATACCCTGTCTGCTATCCTTACAGAGTGTCAGCGCCTGGTTCGTTTTATTTGCATTTTATGATGTGAAGTGCTATCTTTTGAAACGGTGAAGATGTCCTCTTCAAACTCTCATGTTCTTTGTTATGTGTGCAAGATGTCTGCCCAGTAGACATTTTTGAGCTCTTCGGAGGAGGAGGAGGGCTGAGGATATGACTCACATTTCTTCTTTGTTGGCCTCCTTCACCTTCCCTACCTGATGATACATCAACACAATATCTTCGGCGTCGTGTTGTTGAGAAGCCCTCAGAGATGCAGATTTCTCGCCGGCTCTCTCTCTCTCCGGTGCAAACGGCTCGTTTTGCACTGGGACGTTGTTAAGAACCGGGCTAAAACGGGCTCCGCTGCCTAATGAGCGCTGAGACCGCGGCGGGTCCCTCTGTGTGGTGTAGGAGTTCTTCAGGGAGCACGTCGCTGTTTAGATTGACCTCATCGTCCTCACATGACAAATTATTTTGGCATCGGGGCTACGAAGATAGCTGCAGAGACTTTTTTGGGTGCTGATTATATGCTGTGATCTTGATCAAACATCGCAGCGGGTAAAGTGATCCAGAGAGACTCGGCGGGGACACGAGGATTTAAACGTACACCAGATTCATAACAAATTGTTCTGCAAGTTTGAGCTTTTAATAGAGAGAACTTGCAAATCGAGACTTGCTGTTTTTGCTAAATATTTCCTGTATTGTTGCTTAGAGTGACTTTGCAATACCTATATAACTCTTATCTAAGCACAATTTGTGATAATTTACCAAACCAAGACGCACAAACGCATTCAAAATGACACGTCTTGTTAGAGCGGGCAAAGCCTGGGACGCACTGTGGCTCGTCCATACTTAGATTGTACTACTGTAGCATCATGGGGGGACAGGACCTTGGCCTGCCAGGCCTTCCAGGCATTCCTGCCCCAGGATTATGCCACCACGGCGAGGGGAGGTGGATTTGGATGATGCATGACCGTGAACTGAACCCATCAAGGACCTCTGCATTCAGTCGCCGATATTTACAGCGTCTCTGCCCGTTTGTCTCGCTCTCTGTCTCTCGCTTCCCTCTGACCTGCTTTGTTTTTGCTTTTTAGAAAGAAAAACCAAACTGATCCGTCAATAAATCAGTAGATAAACCCTGAATGCATGCATATTAGCAAACTCCTATATTTCTCTGGATTTTTTTTCAGTTTGCAAAAGTCACTACGAGTCTTACTGCTGCTCTTCTTGGCTGGATCAAATGTTCTCCCTTTCCTTATGTTTTACTCGTAGTTTTTCGTTCTTAAATTTTCTTCTCTCTCTCTCTATCGGTCTTTCTTTGGCTCTCTCCCTCTGTCTCTCTCACCCTCCACCGACAGAGCAGCTGTTCGGCTCATCAAGTGCTTGGACAGGCAGGCACTGGCTGCGAAGAAATTAGCTCTGGCCTGCTGGTCAAAGAAATTCATCCCACTGCACCTTACAGCGAGACATGAACCAGCAAAGTCTAACGCCCACTCACCTGTACCTGCTGTCAGACAATTCTCTACTCCGTTTGTTGTTGTCCGTAACATCAACAGGAGGAGTTTGCGTCCACGTATCGCCTTGACGGGATGGATAATGAAGTGAGGTCATTTCTCTGTGCTGGAGGATACATTTTTGAAAGGCCTGAACCCTCTTGTCAGCACAGAGTCTCACCACCGCTGGCTTAAGCGAGCTTAGATCAGGCAAAATTTAATGGCCCACTTGTACCAGCGTGCATAATTAGACACACAAACCACACAGACTTACACCTCCACACACACACACACACACACACACATCCTTTTGCAGCACACACTTTGCTAAAGTGCATGCACGCGCCCACTCTGTTCCGCCACTCTCTGCACCCCACACACACACACACACACACACACACACACAACCCCCTTAACGCATCACGCTCTCAGAGAAACGCAGCAGCGAGCCTGAAACCATCGCAGGTCTGTCTGCAGCCGCCCAAAATAAACGGCGGGCGGCCTGCTGGAGTTCCTTGTTGCTAGGGGTTTCCCTGAGGGCGGGAGCCAGAGCCTGTGTCGGTGGGGGTGGTGGGGTGAGTTGGGGGTTTTCTGATGACGGCACGGCTATAAATACACACCATCAATGCGCTGCCCTGCTTCGTCCTCAGTTTGGTTCATGCAGGCGAGCTGTACATTATGAGAGCAGCCAGAGCAATCAGCCTAATGCACGGCGCGCTGCAGCTCGGCGGCCGCGTAGTACGCTCTCTGCTGTGTAGCCTCCTCTTACCGCTGGCCTAGATGAGATAAGATTGAGGGAGTGTGTGTGAGAGAGAAGGTCTGTGTTTTTGTGCGTGCACCTCTTTATTTAGTCCCAGCAATGGCCTGATTATGAAATCCACAGGTAGAGCAGAATCTGTTCTGTGCCCACCTTTACCAGGCTGCCTTTAAAGGGACGGTTTGGTCTCTTTGAAATGAGGCTGCAAAGCCCTAGTTTGGGGAAACAGACGGGAGATACGGGCATGAAAGTTAAGAGATGTTGTTGAAGGGATCAGCAAAAACCACATATTTAGAAAAGGCCTGCCCAAAAACCTCTATGTTAGCTTAAGAGAGAATGTTTTCACAGCTTTATGTTGCTGTCAGGCAAAATGGAGCCTTAATATCAGCAAAAAGAGTATTGTTATTATCATGTAGAAAACTGGAGTCTATGGAACTGTTGTGAATAATTTAATAATCGATTAGTTGTCAACTATTAAATTAGGCTAAAAAAAAAATCTATATCTGCTTTACTGTACGCTGTAGCGAGTATGGTTTTTACTGCCGTCGGGCAGCGTTTACAACAAGGAACTGGAGCTTTATATCAGCAAAAACTGTAATATTATGTTGCATAAAGTGGGACTTTCTAGTCTGTAGACATATTTTCTGGTTTGTGTCATCTTGGGCTTTAGGAAACTGACATTTGTCACCATGTTGCGACATTTTATAGACCCAACAACTAATAGATTAATCCAGAAAATAACTGACATGGAAACGATGACAATGAAAATAATCCTGAGAATAAGCCCTGCTAGCATGCTGCTGATCATTTGTTTGTGTTATTGTGTGACTTTGGAGTATAACATGCTAGCTCAGACTCCAGCTAACATGCTAACTGGCTCATAAGCAGGAACCCACCATCCTGAAAAGTTCTACCAAGGACTTGGATCGTGCTGTGAGGTAGCCCTGGTAGTTTATTTATTTTGTCAGTACATTATCCATTTTAATCCCAGTGCTCGTCACACTGCATGCAAACGTTCCACCAAAACGATACCACCTGTATTTGTAGTGAACACCGAACCTGCTTCTTTTGCTTTTAAGGAATACAAACAAGTGTTTTTTTTTCCCGCCCGAGAGCAGGATGATGGTGCAGCCCGACCATTATGTTCTCCAGAATGAGCCGGCAACGTAGAACTGCACAATACCAGAATAACAACTCCTGTAAAATGACTATTTTTCTCAGTGGACTCTGGTGGTTCTAAAGGAAGTGATATAAACGCGTCCTTACACTGTGCACTTAAACTGATATTGATTTTTTTTTTAGTTTTTTGTTTGGTTGGCCTTTTTTTTAAGGTGGCTAAAACATGTTTTGTTGCCGATGCCGTACGCAGCAGTTGTATTTCTAAGTTTCCTTGCTGTCTATCCATTTGTCTGCCTCTGTAAAGTGGGGATGTACTGACCCTGATCTACTGCAGGTAATACGCTGACTATTATTACAACCCCACTAGATTTTTTTTCCATGAAAGTAATCCTTTCATGCCTTAAAAAATGGCTTAAATGCTTCCTCTAGAACGTGCACATCTATTAAGTACTCGCCACTTGCTGTAGCTCGAGCACACCAGCTCACCTACGACTCACTACAAAGCCACTGTAGGAGTTACACAATGGCTAGTTGCAGTGTTGGAGTAATTCTGCCATACATGTTTAAACTGGAATCTGAACGTTTGTCCTACAAATTGACAGGATGGGCTCCTTAGATTGGCTAAATCTTGAATTAGTTTTGAACACACTGCAGCTTCAAGATGGAAATGCCCAGCTATGGTGTTGACTTGCTCAAAATATGTCCTCCTCGAATAGAAAAAGCACCATATGGACGTGTTAACAAGGTTAGAAACTTGTTTTCTGTTGTTGGTTTGTCTATACAAGAAGCCAAACTAACCCTTCAACCTGCCGCTACAAGCATAATTACATTTAGTTTTAGGATTTGGTCAAATGTCTGAAGATTCTCAGTCATCCAGGTCGTGGTTATCCTGGTAGATCAATCGAAGCAACTGCTTGAGTTCCTTGAAGACGTTCCACCTCTCATCCAAGAGGCTTCATCAGCTCTGACTGACTAGTTGGGGGTTCCAGAAACTTATATCCTTAAGGAACCATTAACACCTGAGTTTAGGTTTCATTTGGGGGTTTGTTGCTCCTCTCCCTCGTTATATGGATTGTTAGT